TTACGCTCCCGAAACAATGGAGTTCACAGGACTTACAGCAGTACGCCTGCACACCCCCTATCACCTGGGTGCTATTCGGCTCCTTCTAATAGACAGACGATGTATATCTCTTCTTGTCGCCAACCGTATGCACCACAGCCCTTCGCACGAGTCCATCTCCGTCTCTCTCCACAGCATCAATGATGCCCATGGGCCATTTGATACGTGTTATGGTTTCAGACGATATCAATATGTCGCCCGATTTGAAATTGCGATACTTCGAAAGCCACCTTTGTCGCACTTGCAGGGTTGGTATATACTCCATCATCCATCGACGCCAGAAGTTATTAGCAAAGTGATTGACTTGTCTCCACCGTCTTGTGTANGAATGGCGAAGAAAGATAAGGAAATGCAAGGGAATTGAGAGGAAGTTTCAGTCTTTTTGACTGTTTCACCGGCCACCCAAATTCTTCCGAGCGGACAATGGCACCTCAGATGGTCTCCTGTTTCGTCTCTCTATTCTCACTTACGCTCCCAAAACAATGAAGTTCCCAGGACTCACAGCAGTACGCCTGCCCACCCTCTATCACCTGGATACTAGTCGTCTCCTTCTAATAGACATAGACGATGTATATCTCTTCTTATCTTGTCGCCAACCGTATGCACTTCAGCCGTTTGCACCAGTCCATCTCCGTCTGGCTCCACAGCACCGATGATACCCATGGGCCATTGGTCACGTGTTGTGGTTTCAGATGGTATCAAAACGATGTCGCCTGATTTGAAATTGCGAGGCATCGAAAGCCACTTTTGTCGCACTTGCAGGGCTGGCATATACTCTCTCATCCGTCGACGCCAGAAGTTATTAGCAAAGTGATTGACTTGTCTCCACCGTCTTGTGTAACTCTCCATCATTGTGAGGCCTTCTAGGTTTTGCTCGTTCTCCGTCAAAAACAATAAACTGTTCGGAGACAGTACTCTTCTTTCCTTATCATCCGACAAGCACGGCACTAGCGGTCGGCTATTCAATATCCTTTCGATTTCTACAAAACAAGTTAACAATGTTTCCTCATGCATTAACTGCTCCTTCGTCAACACAAGCAGTAACCTGCGCACGGAGCTGATCATTCTCTCCCATACGTCCCCCTATGAATTGAGGAAGGAGGGTTAAAAAACCATTTTATCCCATCACATACAAGACGGTCGTTAATCTTGTGTCCATCCCAGCGTTTCATTGTATCCTTTAGCTCTGATACGGTACCCACGAAATTTGATCCGTTATCACTATAAATCTCTGAAGGTCTTCCTCGTCTACCGATGAATCTCAATAGACACAGGATAAAAGAATATGTATTGAGACAGCCAGCTATCTCTAAGTGCACGGATCGGGTCTGTAAACACGTAAACACTTAGCCACATTTCTTTTCCAAACCACGACCCTTGCGAACAAACAGAGTTCCAAAATAATCAACTCCTACTGAGTTAAAACAACACCAACCCTTTTGGACCCTACATAGCNATCCCATCACATGCAAGACGGTCGTTAATCTTGTGTCCATCCCAGCGTTTTATTGTATCCTTTAGTTCTGATACGGCACCCACGAAATTTGATCCGTTATCACTCTAAATCTCTGAAGGTTTTCCTCGTCTACCGATGAATCTCAATAGACACAGGATAAACGAATCTGTATTGAGACTGCCAGCTATCTCTAAGTGCACGGATCGGGTCTGTAAACACGTAAACACTTAGCCATATTTTTTTTCCAAACCACGACCCTTGCGAACAAACAGAGTTCCAAAATAATCAACTCCTACTGAGTTAAAACAACACCAACCCTTNAGCCATCATCTGCTAACCTGAAGAAGCTACCATTTTCCGACATACTATGCATTGATCTATTACTCGCTTCACTGCACTGATTCCCTTGACGATCCAATATTTTTCACGGATCGCTGACAAAACGTGTGACGTACCACTATGTTCTTCTCTGCCATGATAGTGGCGAATAATAAGATCAGTCACATGATGTCGATTGAGTAGGATCACTGGATGCTTGAAATTGGACGAGTAGTTTGCGTAACTAAGTCGCCCACCTACACAAAGAAATTCAATTATCATAACTGGGCAAAGCGTTCTCAAAGAATGCACCATGTCTCCGTTTCGTGCTCCTTGAAGTTTTGCCTGTAATGCTGATTCACCGAGTGTTTCATTTTGCACCATTCTTAAAATCTTCCATCGAGCTGCGTCGATTTCTTCTACCGTGAGGTTTCCTACGCTCAGGGTACTTTCGTTTCTCGACGAATACATAATTCTAAGGTAAGAGATGAAACGAAAAATCCATGCAACTGACTCTAAAAGTTTTGACCATTGAGGGTACCGATGCAGAAGCTGTTCTAGTTTTTATCGACAAAACAGCTGTGTTCACGCGTACTACAATTTTCTTCATCTCTACGCCATCCAGTGGGCACGATAATGGAGATAATGCCTGTGTAACATAGCTCTGTAAGAACATCGGCCCCTCTAACCATGTCTCTAGTTCTCTCCTTGTTGATATACCTCTCGAAGTGAGGTCAGCGATATTTTGTTCGTACCGGATGTGACGCCATTGGGACACCGTGGAGTACTGATGGATGATTGCTAACCGATTGGCAACGAATGTACTAAAACGTGTTGAAGTATTTTCTATATAATATTTGACAATCATTGAATCCATCCAGTACGACATCTCGCTGAACATCTCCGATAGAGTCCTTTTCATCGACTGTCCCATCTTGATTCTGAGGACTGCCGCAAACAGTTCCAGTCATGGTATGGTTACTGGTTTGATAGGTGCCACTCGAGACTTACTGAACAGCAAAACGCTGTTATCCGGTTTTCTTGCTGGAACGCACCACGCGTAGGCGACGGCCCCATAACCTGTCTTGGACGCATCACAGAAAATATGCATTTCCGTTTTCCCTTCTTCTTCCCAATCTTCGTTTCTAATACTTCTTGGGATCTTAAACACTTCTAGACACCTAAAAAAGCGTACCCAGCTTTCCCAAATACTGGCATCTACAGCATTGAGAGGTTGGTCCCGACCCATTTTGGATTCACACATTGTTTGCAGAAACTGCTTTGCTGGGAGGTATAGAGGGGCTACCAAACCCAGCGGTTCAAACCACGAACTGACGCTGGATAATATACCTCTTCTTGTCACCGGCTTATCTAGTAGCTGGAAATGGAACGTAAGAACATCTCGTGTTGTGTCCCACTGCACGTCCAAAGCTCTCTGACAACTGGAATCAAATTGAGGCAGTTGAACCAGGTTGGTGCTTGTGCTGTCTTCCGAGGGGGTTCTGCAAGTTCGGATGAGTTAGATGATTACCTTATCAGGTTAAAACCACCTCTTCCCAATAGTTTGGTTATTTCCTTCGCAAAATGTAAGGCTTGATTGCATGTCGTAAACGATGCAAGACAGTCATCAACGTAGAAGTTTACTTCTATGGCTTTTAGCACACCACGCCCATAACCACTACCGAATTCTCCTAAGGCGTTGTTCAAAGCAAAATTAGCACAAAACGGTGAAGAAGTTGCACCAAACGGGTGAGCTGTCATTTGATATTCCTCGGGATCCTTGAGTGGGTCACCCTGTGGCCACCAGAGAAACCTCAAAGCGCCTCTGTCATGTTTTGCACCTTCACTTGCATAAACATCTCTTCTATGTCAGCTGTAACAGCTACACGTTCCTTACGGAATCGCAAAAGTATACCCACTAAATCCGCGGTGGTGTCTGGACCTTGATAAAGCATGTCATTCAACGATTGCCCATTGTGTTTGACAGCACAATTCAAAACTATACGCAGCTTTTCCGGCTTTTTTGGGTTAAATACCGCATGATGAGGCAGATACCAACGCGGATGAAAGTCGCAGTGTAACTGTTCCCCTGGGACTGGCACAGCTTATCTCTTCTCTATGGTCATCTTCATCGTTTGTGCCTAACGGAACCGTAGTGACTCGTCATTAATTAAGCGCCGCTTCAGGCTGTTCAACCTCGAGAGTGCATAGTTTCCCGTACCGGTATTGACACCTTTCTTCCATGGCAGAGGGACCACAAAATACTCACCGACGAACATTGTACCGGACTCTACAATAGCGATAGCCTCTGTGTCGTCTACGGGAATGCCTTGATCTAATAACTGGGCGTCTGTAAATTCTGCATCGTACATTCGCATTACCTGATGCATTAAATTTGAGTCTTCTGCAGCCAAGCAGTTGACCGATTGCATTTCATACGAGGCGAAGCTTAAAGGTCCAAAATTCACTCAACCTTATAGCGTCCGAACTGCATAAGAATTCATTCGACCACCGAGCCTTTGATTGAGTTCCCAATGCGCCTCCGGTATATCACACCCCATTTAATAGAAGGTCCATCTCCCCACCAATACCCAGCACTTCCAACGCCCCAGTCAAACATAGCAGACTC